ATTTATATTTTCAACCTGTGGTTTTTAGTACCTCAAATTCTAGCAGTTATCTGGAATTCTTTAACCAAAATGATGTATTTTGTGTCGGTTATTCCCCTCCCCCCAGGCCGTTTTTAGTCTTCTCTGGGTTAGCATGTCAGTTAACAGTTATCTAACTGCTTTCCAGCTTCCAGAACTTGGTTAATATTTCTCATCTGCTGATTTCTCTCTAGTTATCTTTATCCTTGTAAGTTTATGATTTTATTTCTTCTATCATTCTGGAGAGGTTTTAGGAAGGCCCAGAAATAAATGTATGTCTTCTATCTTCCGGATTTAAAAAGTAGCAGTCTCAGTAATTTTGAATATATAGGTGAGGGCTGCCTGTGTTCTGGCCATGATAATACATAGCCTGGATCTCTGGAACAAGCCTCCCCAGCTGCCTCCATTCTAGCCTTAGGCCTCTTTTTAGATCTGCTTTAAACAACCTCTCACTGGTCCAATTAGCCCTCAGGGTAGACACTGAAATCCTAAATAGAAGTCTCTCCTGTTTCATGCTACATTTCCCATGGATTCATTCTTTCATCTCTAGGACTTTGAACATGCTGTTCCTTTTCCTAAATTGCTTACCTTTCCCTCCTTTCCCCTCCCTGACCCCACAAGCCTGTGCTGTGTGTCTCTGCCACACAGTCTCATGGGATCCAGTACTTTCCCAGTTGTGTCACTTGCCACACAGTATTGTGGCTGTGTTTCTTATTAGGGAAGTAGAGGTGCTGTATCTGTCAGGCCCATTCTGTTTAGTGAATGGTGATGTTAGACATTCTATTACTCATTTGGCCATACTTCATTTGTCTGTCTCTAAATAGGTAACTAGGATTTAAAAACCACCTCCTTCTGTGGAAGCTTAAATTGTTAGAATGCAAAAGATTTTTCTTGTAGGTATGTTTATTCTTTTTAAAACTTTTGTTTTTACTTGACTTATGCTGTAAGAGAAATCACTAGTTTTTCAAAACTTTTTTTTTTTATTATAAAGACAGTACATGTTCATGTAAAAATAAGGAACTAAACTAACAATGGAAGAGTGTAAACTTCTCTTCCCCTTGCCAGTTCTATTTCTCAGAAGTTAAAACTTGTAACAGTTAATGTTTTAACTCACTACAGGGATCATGTTATTCACAGTGACCTGCACCAGCATATATACAACATATTTAATCTGCCATCATTTTATGCCTACATTCACACATTTGTAGTTGCTAGGAAGCCATACTGCCTGCCAGCCCAAATTTTACTGAATAGTTCATGTGAAGCATAAAGAGCCCCAGCCCTGGAGCTGCTTTTTCTAATTAAACTTTTCCCAGTGTAATGGACAGATCTGAGTTACTTTAAGCTTTTGGAGATCTTTGGCCACAACAGCAAGATAGAAATTCATACTCCTTGGGAGAAGTCAGAGGTGATAACTTTACTTATCTGTTATGGATTGAGTTGTGTCCCTCAAAAGTCCTAACCCCCAGTACCTGTGAATGTGACTTTGTTTGGAAATAGGGCCTTTGAAAATGCGGTCGGTTAACATGAGATCATACTGGAGTAGGGTGGGTCCTAATCCAATTTGAATGGTCTCCTTATAAAAGAGGAAAAGAGATGGCCACGTGACCATGGAGGAAAAATTGGGCTGATGCAGCTGTAAGCCAAGAAACACCAACAATCACTGGCTGGCATCAGAAGCCAGGAGAGGCATGAAACAGATTCTCAGAGCTTGCAGAAGGAACCAACTCTACTGACACCTTGATTTTGTACTTCTAGCCTCCGAAACAGTGAAAATAAATTTCTGATGTTTTAAGCCACCCAGTTTGTGGTACTTTATTACAGCAGCCCTGGGAAACTAATATATCATCCTTGAAACTTTTAGACTTTTTTTTTTAATCTCCATAAGCACTTGCTTGCCTCTTACATTTAGGGGCCAGTGAGAGCTTTCTACTCTATGAAGTTAGACACTTGCATCACAGTCCCTTCCTTTACAAATTGTCGTCTAATGTTTACAGTGCTTGGTTTCTTTTTTTTTCTCCTACTAATATTCATTTGAAAAATCTCAAACTTATGTAACAATCGAAAGAGAATACAACAAACATCCATATATCCTTCACCTAGCTTCACCAATTGTCAACATTTGGCTGCATTTGCTTTCTCTTTTAAAGATACAGACATCATGTAATTTACCCCTAAATACCTTAGTATGTATCTTCCAAAAGGACATTCTCCTTTATAAACACTATAGCATAATTCCTAATGAATTAAACATTTATATAATAATGTAGAAAAACCCTGATGGCTTAGTGGTTAAGTGCTACAGCTACTAACCAAAAGTTCAGAGGTTCAAATCCACCAGGTGCTCCTTGGAAACTCTATGGGGCAGTTCTACTCTGTCCTGTAGGGTCGCTATGAGTCGGAACTGACTCGATAGCAATGGGTTTTTAATAATGTAATCTAATACACAGTAATCTCCTTTACAGCTTTTTTTTTTTTTTAAATCCAACATCTAAGAATCAGTATTTAATGTTCCTTTAAACTAGAACAGTCTTTCTGCATTTATTGATTGACTGTTTTTCACGACATTGACAGTTATGGAATCTAGGCCATAGGACTCCTTGATGTTTCCTGTCACTGTGTTCCACTTAGGACAGTGGGTAAGAGCAAGTGCTCTAGAGTCAGATTGCTTAGATTCTAACCTGGGCTCTGCAGTTTAATTGTTAATCCTACACAAGTTATTTCTTTTCTCTAATCTTCCTTTTCCTCATGAATGTTCCACCATCTGGATTAGTTGGATTACATTCCTCAAGATTACTTTTAGGTTAAACCTAGGCAAGAACACCACACAAATCATGTCTGTAATCCTATTGCATTGCATCAGGAAACATTTGAAGCTAGTATGTCCCATTACTGATGGTAATACATTTGCTCACAGGATTAAGGTCACACCTACTTTGTATTAGTGGCCTGTGAGGTGAGACTTTAAGACCACATGAATATTGTTTCCCAACAACCTTTCATTCAATTGATGACTTTTGCCTAAGTCAGTTACATTGTTTGTTGCAAAATGGTAATTTTCTTATTCTATTGTTGTTAGCTGCCCGTCCAGTCGCCCGACTCATGGAGACCCCACGTGTTACAAAGTAGAACTGTGCTCCAAAGAGTTTTCTTGCTTGTAATCTGTATGGAAGCAATTTGTCAGGGTTTTCTTTTGTGGAGCTGCCAGGTGGGTTTGAACTCCCAACCGTTAGGTTAGCAGCAGATTGCAAACCCCTTGCGTCACTCAGGCTCCTTTTTTCTAAATCTGGAACTCCTATATTTTTCAGCTGGCTTTCTTCTGTAATGAGGAACACCTCCCCACCTCTTACCCTTTTAAGAAAAATATCACTACAGAATCTTTTATTAAATTTTTTAAATTAATATATAGATTCTTTTTTTTGTCATGTTTTATAAGCTATCACTATCATTATTCTTCCTGATGCTCAAAAAAACCCCAAATTTGGCTTTTATGTCCTTATGACATATTGCCATTAGTGTTTGAACACATCGTTGCTTTCTGGTGTAAGAAGTTATTTCAGGCTCACCTTATACTTACCCTGCCCTAGACCTAGAACCAGCCATTTCTCCAAGGATCCTTGGTCCTTTTTAGCGGGAAATGGTATATGGGCACAGGTTTTAAACTGTCTTTAGAAAAATATTTCGGTTCAATGACCTTGAGTTATCCCCATTATACCATATCTGCATTCCCAACACTACTATTGTAACCCTGAGGTTTTCCTTCTCATTGAGATTTTCAGCACAGCTGCTTTGGGACTATTGGGTGATGAAGAGTGTGGATGGCTTCAGAGGAAAGGGCAATAGACCTGATGGTGCCAAGGTATTCCTAGTGTTTGTGGAACAGTAGTCCCATTTCCGCATTAGTTACCTCAGAACATGGCCTCTGTGGACACCAGTACTTCAGTTCCTGGTTTGGGGCCTCATGGGCATGATACAATTAATAATCCTCAGTGTGTGTGAATTTTGTCAGTTTTTGAAACCTCTTTACCAACCTCTTTAGGAACAGGCAGGGAGGCAGATCACTGGTGTCCCTCTCAGTTTTGGCCCTCCATTTCTTTCCCTCATCTCCACATGCCTACTATTTGCCTGCACTCTTGGGTTCAACATTATTTAACTGCAGTTAGGGGCTCCCTGCGAGAAATGTCTCCACTGCTTTCTGCTTCTTATTTTATCCCTGTGTTTCAATGAAACAGTGGTTAAGATAAGAGTTTTGGAGTCATTCTGTCTGGACTCCAACCTGGGCTCCACAGTTTACTCATTGTGTGACTTTAGACAAGTTTCTTAACTGTGTCTTCCTTTCTTCATCTATAAAAAGGGGACAATCATGTCCACTTTGATATATAGAGTCTCCAGGCTACCAAAGTCTGACTTACATACAACCCATAGTTACAAACCAACCCCATAAAGCCTATTATATTAAAAATTCAAGGTACGTACAATGGTTCGTAATAACAAACGGGTGCTACTTTGTGATGCACATTAAAACATTATTATTACTGTACTATTATGTTAAAGATAGAAGAGTTTCTTTAAAGGTTTTTATGCATAGAAAGACACACTATATACTATATACTAAGACAAACATTTGACTAACTGGCATTAGATACGAACCTTACCTAACTTCTGACTTATGTACAAACTTGGCTTACAGAAAGATTTAGGAACATAATTTGTTTGTAATCTGGGGATTGCCTGTACATTCAGATCCCATGGGGGATCTTGTTAAAATGCAATTCAGTAGGTCTGGTGTAGAGTCCCTGGATGGTATAAATACTTATACAGGCTGAGTCCCTGGATGGTATAAATAGTTATACAGGCTCAGCTGTTAACCAAAACTTTGGAGGTTCTAGTTCACCCAGACACACCTCAAAAGAAAGACCTGGTGACCTACTTCTTAAAAATCAGCCATTGAAAACTCTGTGGAGCACAGTTCTACTCTGACACTCTAGTTTTTCAGAGTAGATCACCAGGCCTTTCTTGTTTTAGCCTGGAAGTTCTGCTGGAACCTGTTCAGCATCAGCAACATGCAAGCTTTCACTTGCAGGAATCAAACCAAGGTCTTCCACATGGAAGGTAAGAATTCTACCCTCAAATATGCCCACATTCTAATCCCCAGAATCTGTGAATGTTACTTTATACAGCAAAAGGGACTTTACAGATGTGCTTAAATTCAGCATTTTGAGATGGTAAGATTATCCTGGATTATCCAAGGTGGGTCCAATGTAATTACAATGGTCCTTTTGAGAGAGTTACAGAAAGAGTCATAGTTAGAAGAGATGTGATGACAGAAGCAGAGATTGGAATGATATACTTTGAAGATGGAGGAAAAGGCCACAGCAAAAAAAATACAGGTGGCTGCTAGAAGCTAAAAAAAGACAAGAAAATGGATTCTTCCCTAGAGCCTCTGGAAGGAACCAGCCCTGCTGACACCTTGAATTTAGCCTAGTGAAACTGATTTCTTTTGTCCTCCCTAACTGTAAGAAAGTAAATTTGTGTTGTTTTAAGCCACTTTTTCTTCTTTCTTTTAAGTTTTACATTTGTGGTAATTTGTTACAGCGGCAACAGGAAACAAATACAGTTACCAAATGTAGTCCCTTCACATCTGTTGGGAAGGTGTCTACCCCATAGGTCTGAGCTCATGCATAAATTGATATTCCATAGGAGAGACTTTTTTCTTTTTCTTTTTTTAATTTGGTACCCCTTCTACTGAAGATGTAGAACAGAGAGTGTCAATTTAGAAGAACTTGAAAACATAACAGATGCTAGGTATGAGATCTTTTTTAAAAGCTCCCTAGGATTGTGAACATCATGTGCAAGCAAGGTTTAAAACTTCTCATGTAGATGGACAAGTGAGAGGAATTGTGTATCCGTTGTTCCCTGAGCCTTAAACCTGTGAATTCTGCATACAGTGGTTGAGCTCAAACTGCTAAAATAACCTATCCTAATAAATGTATAGTCAGGAAATGCATGGCTGAAGAAATGAAATGACTCAATTGCCTCAAGATGATCAGGGCATAATCTCAGGTCACACTGGGAAAATCTATTACAAGTAAAACCATGGATGGAACAATTTTTATCATAATCAGTGTTAATCACCAGGCTACAGCAATGAATTATAAGCTGCATTATAAATACATATTTTTTATTGTAGTAGAAGTTCTGTAGGAACTTTAGTAAAAAGAGGAATAAAATCGAACCAGAGGCCATTCTGAGTGACAATCCACACACAGAAATGCATAGTTTCCATACACAGAAATGCATAGTTTCTATAAAGCAAAGAAATATCTGCCAGCCTAAGACTGAACATAAATAATTTACTAGGCTAAAGCTAGAACCTTTCCTTCTATAGATGTGTCCTGTATTCTTGCTGCTACATAGTATGCTTTCAGCTAAGAGAAATGAATCTATCTAAGAGAGATGGAAAACTATTTTGGGCAGGCCATAAAGAGAAAAATCCAGACATGGGAGGAGCCACATCAAATACTGATGTCAGTACCTAACCCATTAGCAGTCAGACAGAAATTAGGAGAGAAGTCTCATGCTCCCTCCATGTGTCTGCAAAAGGACTCTCCAGTAAAATCTCTGGCTCATAGAAAATTCTCAATCAATGTTCACTTCGTGAATAAATAACTGTATGAACTGATTCCACCATAAATGGAAGAGATGGCAGCTTACTGAAAAATTCTATGGACGTCCCTTACACAACACTTCCATAAAAATGAAAAGAGTAAGTTAATCCTTTCATGGTGAATGCCAATCCAACCACATATTCATGGAGAATGTTCCACTCATAAGTAGATCTTCATCATCTCACAGATTGACTTTTGAATTCCATCACAAGGGATGTCAGTCCAGCCCCAGTTTCCATTAAGAAAAATTATGAAAACACGAAGCTCATTATAATCATTGGGTTCGCTAGGATGCCAGAATTTGAAAAAGAGAAAAAGGATGAGGCTATTTCTTCAAATGTACTTTGAAAAGAGAGACTGAAGGAGCTGGGTTGAACAGTGTGGTGTCCAGGTCAGATACGTCCAATCATTCCTTCCCCCACTTCTCATGCTGCCTCCTTTTGTAAAACCCTCAAGTTTAAGCAGCTTCTCCTCCATCTGTGTCACTGACATTTCCCTTGAAAATTGCACCCACATCACCCAGTATTCTGCCACTTTAAGCAACTCAGGCCGCATTAAACATCCTCCCATCAGGAATCCCAGAGGCTCCCGTCTGCTTGTACATCCTTCTGTCCTGTTCCAGTGGGGCTGCCAATCCCATTAAAAAACAAAAACAAAAAACCAAACCCCTTGCCCTCTAGTTGATTCCGACTTATAGTGACCCTGTAGGACAGAGTAGAACTGCCCCATAGAGTTTCTAAGGAGTGGCTGCGGGATTCAAACTGACAACCTTTTGGTTAGCAGCCAAGGTCTTAACCACTACACAACCAGGGCTCCACCAATCCCATAGGGCTTCCTTCAGTGATGAAAAGATTTCCCTCTGGTCCCAAGTATCAATACAGTTTGTTCTTTACACACTGCTATTGAAGTCTGGAGAACTAGTCAAGATCTCTGCATCTGCTACTTCATCTTTGCTGAGCTTCCAGTTTCCTACCTAAAAAATGGGGATTGAGTACTATCCACAAGTATGACACACAATTGGTATGAGGATCAAAAGTGGTAATGTATTCTAAAGTACTTTAAAGTTCTCTAAAAACTACATAAATAAGAATTATAATATCATCAAAATTCAGTATTTTTGCTTTAGGACAAATATTAAATCTTATTAATTATGATCTTATACGACATGAATTTTTTCTTGTATTTAGCGATATAAATGTGGTTAAAAGTACAGACTTCAGTGTCCAATACAACTTTTTTTTTTTTTAAGTATTACTTTGTTATTGTTTGTTGTTTAGTAGCTGAGAGCTGGAATGGCACAGTATGGTGCAGGATTCAGGATTCTTTTATTGAATGCTATACTCACGTGACACTTTTGTTGTATGGTGACTGCTCTACCCATTGTCACTGGTGAGTTCCTTCTGAGTCTGACAGCCCCACATAGTAAGCAACTTTCCTGTCCAGCTTCTGAGTTATTAATAGCTGAGAGAAGAAAAGAAAGGACTCACAGACTGTAGAGTACTTAGGTTGTATGGTCTTAGAGAGAAAAGAAGAAAAGAATAGAAACCAGGGAAAGCCACATGGCCCCTGACCATGATCACAGGACTTCTGTGGCTGAGCAGGGCAGGACCAAATACATCACTTATGAACCCATGGAATAGAGTTCTAACCATGATCAGACTGAACTCTAATCTCATACTCACTTTCCTTCTCTAAGAAATGATATTCTTCAAAGTTGTTCATGAGACAACGTTCACAGATTTAATCATTTTTCTTACATAACTTCAGAAATGCTTTAACTTCATTTCTGAATGTTGATTGTGATTCTCAAGATTCAACTTTATTTCTCTATTCTACTTAATACCCCTTCTTTGTTAAGTAGTGACTGATATATAAGAAATTTACATGTTGAAAGAACAAACTGATATATCAGACTGAAATTTTCTCTTCCTTCCACTCAACACTCACATGTTACATTGTAAATGGCACAATTTCTTTGAGTGGAGGAGGTTTTATTACAGCAGCAAGAAGATATAGAATGTACAGGCTTAGGAACCTCTCCTATTCACTTTCCTAAAAGCCTTCTGCAGCAGCACCAACATCCCAGAACAATAAAACCCCCTCTCAGCCAACAGATGAACAAACCCCAGGCAGGGCTCCTGCTTCATGGTCCGTTAGAAGGTACCTGCTCCTCCTCAGCGTTGATCACCAGCAGATGAGCTCCCATCCCAGCACAGTTCTTCTCACTCTCAGTCCAATTATTCAATTCAGAAGAAATAAAGTAGCAGCTGGTATTAGACATGACCCAATTCTCTGGGCAGCAGCTCCATCCTTTCCCTGTATTGAGAAGAAGGACATAATATTCCCTTTAGGAATTTTTAAAATATAAATAATAAGTAAATTTTTGTTTGTTTTTGTTTTAAAAGCTACATTACAAGTAAGGATTGGATATGGTTGGAAAATTAACTCTGCTGTTACTTCCAGTAGCAGTACAATGACAGGGAACTGCCAGAATTTCAAGCTGGATTCAGAAGAGAACACGGAATGAGGGATATCATTGCTGATGTCAGATGGATCCTGGCTGAAAGCAGAGACTACCAGAACGATGTTTACCTGTGTTTTATTGACTACGCAAAAGCATTCAACTGAATGGATCACAACAAATTATGGATAACATTGCGAAGAATGGGAATTCCAGAACACTAAATTGTGCTCATGAGGAACCTGCACATAGACCAAGAGGCAGTCTTTGAACAGAACAAGGTGATATGTGTGGTTCAAAGTCAGAAAAGGTGTGCATCAGGGTTGTATCCTTTCTCCATACTTATTCAATCTGTATGCTAAGTAAATAATCCAAGAAGCTGGACTATATAAAGAAGAATGGGGCATCAGGATTGGAGGAAGACTCATTAACAAGCTGAGACATGCAGATGACATAACCTTGCTTGCTGAAAGTGAAGAGGACTTGAAGTACTTATTGATGAAGATCAAAGACCACAGCCTTCAGTGTAGATTACACCTCAACATAAAGAAAACAAAAATGCTCACAACTGGACCAATAAGCAACATCATGATAAACGGAGAAAAGACTGAAGTTGTCAAGGAATTCGTTTTACTTGGATCCACAATCAACACTCTTGGAAGCAGCAGTCAAGAAATCATTGCATTGGGCAAATCGGCTGCAAAAGACCTTTTTAAAGCAAAGATGTCACTTTGAGGACTAAGGTGCGCCTGACCGAAGCCTTGGTGTTTTCAATCACTTCATATGCATGTGAAAGCTGGACGGTGAATAAGAAAGACTGAAGAAGAATTGATGACTTTGAATTATGGTGTTGGTGAAGAATATTGAATATACCATCGACTGCCAGAAGAACGAACAAATGTGTCTTGGAAGAAGTACAGCCAGAATGCTCCTTAGAAGCCAGGATGGTGAGACTTTGTCTCACATACTTTATACATGTTATCAGGAGGGATCAGTCCCTGGAGAAGGACTTAATGCTTGGTAAAGTAGAGGGTCAGCGAAAAAGAGGAAGACCTTCAATGAGATGGATTGACAGTGACTGGAACAATGGGCTCAAGCATAGAAACATTCTAAGGACGGCGCAGGAGCCGGCAATGTTTAGTTGTTATACATAGCATAGCTATGAGTCAGAACTGACTCAAGGGCACCTAACAACATAACAAACTAACAACAATTTCTATGCCTATCTTCAGAGATGCCTCTGGGTGGACTTGAACCCCTAAGCTTTCAGGTAGCTGCCGCGCATGTTAACTGTTTGCACCACCCAAGAACCAATCAGTGAAACTAAGAAGTTACATAATATTTAGACAGATTTGAGCTAGGCATATAGGGATGACATGAAACACTTAAAGCTTTATTAGGTGAGTTTACAAGGTGAGTGTGTTTGTCATAGGTAAATATACAGCCATTACCATCCCCTAACAAACACGACTGAGCAGGAAGTAGAGGGGAAAAATCTAAGGGAAATTACAAGACGGAGGTGGCATCATTAGCCAAAAGGAAACCAGCTAGGAGAACAGTAAGTCATCTGCAGGTCCATAAGAGATGTTGGGTGTATGGGAGAAATTCTAATGCGTGGGACTATCCAGCTCAGTAGGTAAAGGTGAATTTGAATGATGGATGGTTCTATTAGACCCAGAATTCATTGACTTTGTATCTTTTAGTAGTGAGGACCCACAAAGCAAAATCTAGAGGAGTATTTGTGGAAAAAAAAAACTTGTCCAGAAAATAAAGAAGAAAGAAAAAGCCTTTGAAACGAGCTCCAAATATCACAGAGGCATCAAAGGAACAATTTAAGAAGGAAATTAAAATCACAGTTGATGTTGCCTTGAAGGAGAAGTAGAATAGCAAAGAATAAGAAGGAATGCTGACATTAAAATAAAATGAGTATCTCGAGACATGGAAAATTCAAAAGTTGAGGAAAGACAATGTTTGCAGGAAGAGCACATAGTAGAAGACATGATATTCTTAACTGAGGCCTAAAGGATGGGCTTGAGGAATTTAAACAGCATATTTAGGTCTGGAATCTCCTGAGTATGAGTCAGCTGACACTATCAAGAGGCAGTAATAATTCCCACTGGGTGCAGAGCTAAAATTTTCTTAGGAACTTGATGTGGATGGAGACAGAAAAGAGCAGAGTTAGAGAAAATACAAGTTTATAAGCTGTGCGTGGAGAGCTGCATGCTTAAAATGTGGAGGAACCTGCTCAAAGGGCAACAAAAATGAAGAGATTTTAAAGGCGAGATGTGGACAACTGGAGTCCAGGTAAGCCCCACAACTGTGACTGCCATCCTGGCTAATTTCTAAACTTTGCAAGAAGGCAGGACTTTTTAAAATGTCACTGGTAGTGAAGAGACCTCATGCATGAGTAGTTTTCCCACGATACGTATTTAAGAGAGGACCACACTTGTCCTTTTGATACTCCCTCTGCCCTCTGGATCACCAGCACAGCCTGCCTGGCATTGTGATGAGACTGGAAATTCTGCTATGAATTTTACGTGGCCATAAAGATGTGCGTCTGGATTAAACTATGCCCTAGCTTCTAGGAACATAATTTGTTTGGGGTAACTGCTGTAATGTTGGGGTTTTGCTTGTATATATAAAAAGTTGAAGATAATTAGTTCAGGCTGTGATAATCTCACATGTTCTATAAATCCTCTGTGCCTTTTAGAAAGAGAGCTTGCTCTCAGTGGGATTAAGTTACCTCACATGTCCTGAATGAGCTACAACCTTGAGAGACAGTCTAGGTTGGAAATCTTCAAACCCCAAGATTTTCCCAAGAGTATGTAGTAGTGGTAGGTATGTATTGTTTTCTGCCACCATACAAATTCCACTTTGCTTTCCACAAAGTCCTTGGGTGGTACAAACATTTGGCTTCTAACCAAAAGGCTGGAGGTTGGAGTCCACCCAGAGGTGCCTCAGAAGAATGGCCCAATGATCTGCTTCTGAAAAATATCAGCCACTGAAAACCCTACAGAGCACAGTCCTACTTTGACACTCGTGGGGTCACCATGAATTGACCCCAACAGTTTACTCCACAGCAACTGTTTTCTTTTTTTTCCTTTCCATATTAAAACCAAAAATAAAAAATAAAAAAATAACCCACTGCTGTTGAGTTGATTCCGATTCACAAGGACCCTATAGGACAGAGTAGAACTGCCCCATATGGTTTCCAAGGAGCAGCTGGTGAACTCAAACTGCTGACCTTTTGGTTAGCAGCCATTGCTCTTAACCACGGCACCACCTGGGCTCCCTTTCCATATTAGCTCTTCTTTATTACGAAAGGAAGGCCTATACCTCATCCACTGAAAACTCCCTATGCCTCAGGGTGTAAAATACTCCATCGTGTCAAGGGGACTTTTTAAAATAATTATTTTTAGAGAAGCCACCTTTAATAATTAATCAAGTCACCAGAAATACACACTTTATATGTGCTGCCTTGTGTATTTCCCTTTAAGCATGAAGCAGGGCGTTAGAAATGGAGAAGTTTGCTCTTGTAGGATGTTCTGAAGTCAATTGTATAGCTGAATGTGGGTGGTGAAAGTAATGACAGTTTTAATTTAATGACCTCACTTCTTTTACACCCTCCTTATTGTCAAAGAATGTTTTGATCTAGACTCTAAGATCCAGAGGGAGAGTGTCATAAAAGCAAAGAGAGATTTGATGAGAAATGAGATGAGAAAATTTTTTCATGATCTAGTTGTAGGCGATCTTTTTCAGTTATTCTCAACGCTCATTGCTAGGATGTGTCAGTGGTTAGAAACAAAAATCACCTTAATGATACTGTAACTTTCACATGTACTGAGAAATTTCTAGGACTTCCAAATTTTTCAACTTGCACCGAATAAAGCATGCAGATACAAATATTACATAATTCATTTATAATTTAGCTTGCGTTTTTCAATAAATTAATTAAAGCCTATTTTATCAGTCATCATGAAATATTTATACTATATGCAATCTTCTTTTTAGTTACCTTTTCTAATGTTTATTTTCAACCTCCAATAGTAAAAAGAATAAAATTGTACCCTAGCTACTGAATCAATTAGCTTTTAGAAATATATAGCTTTCTTTTTCAAGAAAAGAGAAAAATCTAATTATGATATTTATCAAAATTAATGGAATAGTTTCTAAATTTTTATGTGTTGCCATTTACTTATTCCTTAAACACATGTTAATTCTATTTGCAAACCAGAGTTAATTATATTAATAAAAATTCCTATAATGATACAATGCCTTCTATCTTATTTCTTCCTTCATATAAAATATAATTTTAGCTACACATTATTTCGAATTAAGGAATGAGAACTTTTCTATAGGCTTATAAAAGTGGATAAAATATACATATTACAACTGCCATAATTTAAACTCAACTTCTCTAAAAGTGTCTTGAAAGATGCATTTAGAATATATTTCTGTTTTTTTAAAAAGTAGTTTCCAAAATGCATATTAATATGGTCAAGTGAATAGAAAAGTGAGAGTTTTTCTGACACAATAAGTCTGATTTGACTCACTGGTTTGACAATAAGGATTGGCTTTACTAACTAATTTATATTATACCATTGTTAAGGCAAGTGTGTAATAGGAACTAGAGTCTAGTAAGAATAAAGAACAAACCAATCTTTCCTTCCCATATTCTTGCCATAGACCCCAAAACAGTAAATTCCAAACTCTTGTGGTAGTTTTGAGGAAGATTTTGTTGCCTCTTCCTTCTCATGAGTTTCTCCCTATGAGTGGTTTGTGGTAAAGAATTTGGCATTTCCCAGAGACAGATCTGGTCTTTGTCCTTCTGAGAAGATTCTGGGAGGCTTCTGGCAGTTAACTTAATATCTTTCTTTAGGTTGGAAACTGAACACACCTTATCTAAGCGTGGGGCAGGCTACATCTGATCATCATAGGTTGAGGACTGTGGTCAGCCAGAAAGACCAACCATGTGATGGTTGGTAGCTTTGGGTCAGAATATCAGTTGACCTGGATTCTAAGGTCAACCATGTGGGTAATCCATCAATCAATCACGACTACGTAATAAACCAAAAATTAAAAAAAAAAATTTAAAAAGCCAGTAGATTCCAACTCATGGTGAACCCATGTGTTGCAGAGTAGAACTGCACTCCATAGATTTTTCAAGGCTGTGACTTTTCAAAAGCAGATCACCAGACTTTTCTTTGGAGGCCCCTCTGGGTGGGTTCGAGCCACCAAACTTTCAGTTAGTAGTTGAGTGCTTAACTGTTTACACCAACCAGGGACTCCTGCATATGTAATGGAGCCCCAATAAAAACTCTAAGCACGGAGGCTAGGGTGAACTCCTTGGTTGGCAAAACTCCCCATGTGTATCTTCACACATGGATACTGGGAGGTTAATAAGTTTACTCCATGAGAAAGGACAACGGAACATTAGCATTTGGAACACCCCTAGACTGCCTTGTGTGTTTCTTCCTTTGGCTAATTTTAATTTGAATCTATTCCCTGTAATAAACCACTACTGTGTGTATAATAACTTATAGTTAATTCTATGAGTCTTTATAGTGAATTATCAAAACTGAAGGTGGCTTTGTGAACTCCCTGTACTTGCAGTTGGTGTCAGAAGCGAGAACGGTCTTGTGGAAGACTGTATGCTCTCTAAACTTGATAGCTGGCTCTAAACTTTGCAGTTTGGCTACCTCCAGGTAAGCATAGACTGAGTTATTTCATTCTTGAAATAGTAAAAATCTGAATAACATTGTGCCATATTCCTCTTCTAGAGAGAAGTAAGGTCACTGAGGTACTGCTCAGGTGCAGATTGCCTCTGGTTGGTCTTCTGCATGAAGTTGTGGGCCGCTGTTGATCCTGGACATGGCTTACTCAACTCTTCTACGAGGTGACCAGGGCTAGACTTGGGAGCAATGTTTTTGCCTTACTGTAAGCCATATATCACAATTCAGTTTTACCATTAATAAAGGTAATCATTTTATTCTTATCTGAATCCTGTATGTATTTATTACTCAAGTAATTCAGGACTATATATGGAGAGGGATGTTATTTTCTGTTAAGCTTGATGATGAACTGGATGTGGGGATGATGAGTAAAGAACTGTTAAGAATGATTCTCCACCATAATCTACAAGAAAATCCAACACCTGTACAACAAAAAGGCAAATAATCCTATTGAAAAATGGGCAAAGGAAATGAACAGACACTTCACCAAAGAAGACATTAAATGGCAACAGACACATGAGGAAATGCTCATGATCACTAGCCATTAGAGAAATGCAAATTAAAACCACAATGAGATACCATCTCACCCCGGCATTACTGGCACGAATCAAAAACACTGGAAATAACA